ATTAAATATATAGGAATTTGGCTCACAGCAAGATGTTCAACAATAAAAGAAGATAATTATGTAAAATTAGTATTAGAAATAAAAAAGGATTTAGAAAAATGGGGAAAACTACAATTATCAATGTTAGGGAGAATTGCGACCATTAAAATGAACATCTTGCCAAGAATACTATTTCTCTTTCAAACTATTCCAATTAAAGTATACATTTTTTAATGAATTAAATAAAATTACTATGAAATTTATTTGGTCAGGGAAAAAAGCGAGAATAAAACTAAGCTCATTACAAGATAATAGATGCAGAGGTGGATTTGGGCTCCCTGCCTGGGAACTATACTATAAAGCAGCAGTCTTAACATGGATTAAAGAATGGGCCAACCTGAGAAACAAAAGAATTTTAACCCTAGAAGGGCACGATCTGGAGGCGGGGTGGCATGCCTTCATGTGGAACCCTGGAAATAAGAATTATACACACTTTAATAGGCATGTAATCCGAAACTCACTTTTGAAAGTGTGGAGAGATTAAACATAAACATTATATGAAGATTCCAGGGTGGGTATCCGTCATGGAGGCATTGTTCCACCCCAATGCTTTAGAAACAGGAAGAAAGATTAGATATTATGATGTCCTAAATTCTCAAGGAGGGTTAAAGACAAACCAAGAACTTAGAGAGCAAGGGATGAAAATAGAGTGGTGGCCGTATTTACAACTTAAGACGAGGTAAAAAAAGACATAGAAGAATTTGGAATTGAGGGAAAACTGAACCAATTAGATAAAATATTAGAGGGAACGGATGAAATATTAATTTATAAAATGGATAACTATCTATTAGAATTTGAAATGGCGGAAGAAATAGTTAAAGGCCCAATGATTGCATGGGCAAGGAATGTAGGGCACAACATTAATCTGGAAGATTGGGGAAAAGTTTGGAAACAAAATTACAAAATAACAAAATTGGCTGTCTATAAAGAAAATCAATATAAAATGTGTTATCGGTGGTATCTGGCACCCTCAAGGTTAGTGAATATGTACCCAAACTTAAGTCCGACTTGATGGAAATGTAAGCAAAGAAGGGGTACCTTCTTCCACACTTGGTGGCTTTGCCCAAAAAGTAAAAAATACTGGAAAAAGATTAGAATTTGGATAAAAGAAATTACAAATATACAACTAGAACTTAAGGCCAAAATATTTTTGTTGGGAATGTTAAAAGGGGACTATGCAAAAGAAATGAAATATTTAATTCTCCATATAATTACAGCAGCAAGAATTGCATTGGCACAATGCTGGAAGGATGACCAAATGCCAACAAATAATTTGATTATTCAGAAGGTTCTTGACCGCTGAAATGGACCTACTTACACAAAAACTTAGGGATAAGGAAGACTCAAGATATAGTACAGCTTGGGAAAAATGGTACAAGTGGATCAAGGATAAAAAACCAGGGTAAGGATAAGAATTTGAAAAATGAAGTGGTTAGATTAAGAGCATTTACCAAAAATAGGAAATGAATATTAGTAAAATTGTTTCCAATAAAAGATCACACCGTCTTAACTGATTAGAAACATATACATTTTTTATGTTTATTTGTTATGTATCTGTATATTGATTTCGTTTGTAATGAAATGTTGTATTCTACAGGTGAAACTCAAAAAATTAGAATATTGTGCAAAAGTTCATTTATTTCAGTAATGCAACTTAAAAGGTGAAACTAATATATGAGATAGACTCATTACATGCAAAGCAAGATAGTTCAAGCCATGATTTGTCATAATTGTGATGATTATGGCTTACAGCTCATGAAAACCCCAAATCCACAATCTCAGAAAATTAGAATATTACATGCAATCAATAAAACAAGGATTGTACATAGAACAATATCGGACCTCTGAAAAGTATAAGCATGCATATGTACTCAGTACTTGGTTTGGGCCCCTTTTGCAGCAATTACTGCCTCAATGTGGCGTGGCATGGAAGCTATCAGCCTGTGGCACTGCTGAGGTGTTATGGAAGACCAGGATGCTTCAATAGCGGCCTTCAGCTCTTCTGCATTGTTCGGTCTCATGTCTCTCATCTTTCTCTTGGCAATGCCCCATAGATTCTCTATGGGGTTCAGGTCAGTCGAGTTTGCTGGCCAATCAAGCACAGTAATCCCACGGTCATTGAACCAGGTTTTGGTGCTTTTGGCAGTGTGGGCAGGTGCCAAGTCCTGCTGGGAAATGAAGTCAGCATCCCCATAAAGCTCATCTGTGGAAGGAAGCATGAAGTGCTCCAAAATCTGCTGGTAGACAGCTGCGTTGACAGTGGACCAACACCAGCAGATGACATGGCTCCCCAAATCAACAGAGACTGTGGAAACTTCACACTGGACTTCAAGCATCTTGCAGTGTGTGCCTCTCCATTCTTCCTCCAGACTCTGGGTCCTTGGTTTCCAAATGAGATGCAAAAGTTGCTCTCATCAGAAGAGGACTTTGGACCACTGAGCAACAGACCAGGTATGTTTTTCTTTAGCCCAGGTAAGACGCTTCTGACGTTGTTTGTCAGGAACGGCTTGACAAGAGGAATATGACATTTGAAACCCATGTCCAAGATCCGTCTGTGTGTGGTGGCTCTTGATGTACTGACTCCAGCCTCAGTCCACTCCTTGTGAAAGTCCCCAACACTTTTGAATGGCCTTTTCCTGACACTCCTCTCTAGGCTGCGGTCATCCCTGCTGCTTGTGCACCTTTTTCTTCCACACTTTTCCCTTCCACATAACTTTCTATTAATGTGCTTTGATACAGCACTTTGGGAACATCCAACTTTGTTTGCAATTACCTTTTGAGGGTGTCAATGGTGGTTTTCTGCACAACTGTCAGGTCAGCAGTCTTTCCCATGATTGTGATTCCTACTGAATCTGACTGAGAGACCATTTAAAGGCTCAGGAACCCTGTGCAGGTCTTATGGCTTAATTAGCTGACTACAGTGGGACACTTTGAGCCTAGAATATTGAACCTTTTCACAATATTCTAATTTTCTGAGATTGTGGATTTGGGGTTTTCATGAGCTGTCAGCCATAATAATCTCAATTATGACACATCACGGCTTGAACTATCTTGCTTTGCATGTAATGAGTCTATCTCATATATTAGGTTCACCTTTTAAGTTGCATTACTGAAATAAATGAACTTTTGCACGATATTCTAATTTTTCAAGTTTCACCTGTATGTATTGTACATATTTTTCTTTTTAATCTTTAATAAAGTTTAATTTTATTATTCAAAAAAAGATTGGGAAAAACTTTGGACGAAAAACTATAAATTAACAATTGCAGCCACGTATAAAGAAAATCTCTACAAAATGTTTTATCGCTGGCACCTAGCACCAGTGAGATTGCCCAAAATTTACCAAAATTTGAACCCGGTATGTTGGAAATCTAAAAAGAAACCAGGCACCTTCTTTCATATGTGGTGGTCATGTTCTAAAGCAAAGAAATTTTGGAATAAAATAAGGATTTGGCTGCAAGAAATAACTGCTTTAAAAATAGAACTTAAGCCTGAAATGTTCTTATTAGAGATAATCAGAGGTGAATACAAGAAAGACATTGAATATTTTATAATACATATATTGACAGCAGCTAGAATAACGTATGCCCTAAACTGGAAATTAGAGAGTAGTCCCACAGATAACATGATTATAAAAAAAAATATGGATTGTGCAGAAATGAATAAACTTACAATGGAATTGCAGAAGGAAGAAAAAGAATACTATATGGTCTGGGAAAAATAGTATGTTTGGTTAGATAACAGGAAAAAAGGCAATGTAAAATGTAAATGTAAATGATGTGTATGTATGTATGTATGTATGTATGTATGTATGTATGTATGTAAATGAATACGGAAAAGTCAATGCCACAACTTACTGCAAAAATTGTATATATGATTTGTTTTTAAAAGTGTAAAAATTTAATAAAATTTATTTATTTAAAAAAAAAAAACTGTACTGCTCCTCTGAACTAATAGCAGCCAGGAACTATTGGAGGTGCATGTTTAGAGCTTTGCTCCTGGACTTTCAGTAAACGGTGGGACTTTGGGGGAAAAGTTGGAACAATAAAGGGGAGTTTACCCTTCATTCTGGCTGTGTTGCTTCTGTGCCCAGCCCCAGCTCATCACAGGAATTTAGTCTGTGGTTCATTATTGCTGGCTTTAATTGAAAACATATATTCTAGTAGCTGTTGATTTCTCCACAGTGGTCAGTTTTTGTAAAAAGGTCAGGGAGAAAATGCCCTTGGGTTACGTTTGACTCCTGGGAGCTAAATGGACACAACCCCACACAACCATGCAGTTTTCCTGGAAAGTGTAGATGTTACTTGCCATTCCTTGGTGCTCCCTCCAAGTATTAACCACGATTAGATCAGCTTAACATCTGAACTTGGATAAAGGCGGGGTCCTGTCTTTGCTTGAACAAGATAATGTTTAGCCGAGATCCATTATTTTATTACATTGATATGTGGATCATCAGGTACCTGTCAACTCGCAAAGCATTCCTGAACTGCTCTCGAGTTGCCATGGGCAAGGGGGATGGGAGAGTGAACTTCGCTGCTGCATCAAGGAGCTGGTATCTCAGTCAAAACAAGGCACATTCCACCTGATACACCAAGGTCATCTCCACAGGAACCCACAGTGGCTGGAGGGAGTGACTTTTTCAACCCGTGAAATTGCTTCGTTGGGGAATGTGACTGATGACACATATTGGGGGGAGGGGGAAACAGGGTCAGAGGCAAAGCACGAATTAACTGAGGTCAGAGTTGGCTCCACCTGGTCCGTGCTGGCATGAAGCTCCTAATAAATAACTGGATTTCTTTTGAAGCTTGGCTTGAGGCTCATGATTTAATTAGGGCATATGTCGGAACCCTGACAGCGAGCCAAGTCTCACAAAACTAATAAAAACGACCAGGATTCCTGAGCTCTAGACTCTCCATCAGCTCCCTGACACCTGGGGTGCATGGAGAGAAACTCAGGCTACCATGGCAGAGGGTGGAATATCTGAAGAGAGCCTGCTCCAGGCGACCCAGAGCAGGGTAGAACTTGCCCCCACCCAGGGAACTCCAGGAACCAGCAGCCCGACTGGAGCCAAATTGCAGCCCTCCCTGGACATCAAAGATGAGAGGCCCACCGCAGTGACTGAAACAAGATGAATATTGGTGGAAAAAAATCTCTAAAGCGGCTGAGGGCCCAGGGCTGGGGGAAACCCCTGAGCGAGCTAGGAAGAGTGGAATGGATGATGGACTGGGAATGTGCCAGACTCCCAAAAACTCTGATGGAACCCTTGGGGGGATCCGTAGAACAGCTGAGGGAGAAATTTGAATGAACCACCCTTCGGGATGAGGCTTTTGAAGCAAGGAGAAGCAGACAGGAACACAGCCTCCCCCTTGTCCGCTACCCAGAGGGAGAATGAGCCCAAGACTGCTGCCGGTGGTCCCCCCACATAACAGGCAAGCTGCCCAAGGGGGATGGCCCCTCCCCTCCCCTCCCTCTGAACCAGAGCCAAAAGAGACCATCAAACACACCAAGTGCAGGAACATGGGGCCCAACCTGGCAAGGGAGGAGCAGGGCTGAACAAACTGCCATGATTCAGGAGGGAATTCGACGGGGACTCAAATCAACTGGCTCTATGCCTTGACTCATCTAGAATCCACCTAGAGCGCTATGGCCACCTCTACCCATCACACAGAGCCATGGTGGATATCATCGCCGGGGGGCTAGAAGAAGCAAAGGAATTGCTAGCAACCCTTCATGAGAAGAGCCCCCCACAACTGCAAGACATCGACGATTTCCTTCAAGAGCTAGAAGCCAGATTTGAGGAGGTGGTGGAGGACCCGTACGAGGAGGATGAGCTCCAAAACCTAAAGCAGAGGAGGCGACCCATTGAGGAACACATCCGTGAATTCAGAAGAGTCATGGGGAAGCTACCCCCTTTTGCCGAAACAACTATTAGTTCACTTCTTCAGAATGAGCCTGGAAAAGCAAATTGCCCAGGTAACCACCTACCAGGACATTCCAAACCGACTGAGTGGTTCCAAGTGGCCATAAAAGTTGACTGTGGATTGCATGCAAATGACAGGTGGAAGCAACCGGATACCAAGGAGAGGCAAACCAAACCAGAGATCATCCGGTCGACAAGAGATCGCAGCAGCACAGCCGGCCCTAAAATCAACCCTCCCATGAAACCAGTTGAAATGCTACAGATGCGGAGGGATGGGCATGGGTCACATCGCCTCGGCATGCGCAACCCCAGCTCCGAAAACCAAACCAGAGCCACCACCCAGGGTGCAACCAGAACGAGACCCCAGACGCCGACACATCCCGAAAAGCCCTCCAGGCCGTAGAGGCCCCTCCTAACCCAGTCAAAGAAGAGGGGGACTCCAGCCAACAACGACTAATTGCCAAATCCTTACGACAGTGAGGACAATGATGAAGATGATCTGATGGTGAGTGAACCGATCCACCCCTTCGTCCTCCCTATACGCCTCACAGCCCCAAAGACAGGGACCCAGGACACTTTTCAAGTCCTAACAGACTCAGGCTGCACTAGATGCCTGATTAACCTAGCCATGGTTCTGAAACTGGGGATTAGAGTGAAGACACTGGCCCACCCGATCAGATTTGAACAGGTCGATGGGTCACTATTGGGGGTAGCCTACACCACCCATCTAACTGAACCAGTGAAGCTCGATGTCAGGATTCCGGCAGTTACTCCAATTCAATCATGAGCCTCGAGCCACACTCCCAAAACTAAAAAAGATTTATTTGAAGGTAACATTCTACATCCGGCATTTACCTGGGAGTAGCCAACTCTGAGATACATAATTCACTGTCACCCTTGATTCTGCTTTTCCCCCCACCCCTCTGGTTGTATCATCCAATGAAAAACGTCCATAGCCAATAGACATCAATCATGTTCTCCAATTAGATTTTTTTGCGGCAGAAGCTTCAGTCATCTAATCAGTGTTTGAAGAAAATATGAATGGAATGTACTTTCGATTCCACTCTGCCGTCTGCTCTTTGAAACTCCCCCCCCCCCTTCTTTCTGTTGTCAACTATAAAACGTGTATACAAAATGTTTTATGAGTTGACACTCGAGCTAGCAAAGCAATTCGGTTCATAATAGCCCCTAAAATGACAGAAATGGTCATACTGGGGCTATCTTGGCTAGACAAGTGGGGCCTGACGATCTGGTGGGAAGGGGGCACCCAGAGGCTGAGGATAACTAGGGGTCCCAAACCCCTCCCACACCAGAAAATAGAAGCATCGCCCACGCGTGAAACCTCCCCAAAGGCCCCTCCAGAACTATTAGCAGCCACCTCTGACAAAACTCCAGAGGTTGAACAGATCCCCAAAGAGTATCAGGAGCTTGCGGAAGTGTTCAGTGAAGCCGAGTGTCCTATCCCCCCCACCGCGAGACAGACTGCGCCATCAAAATCATCCCCGGGGCAAAACTACCCAAACCCAAACTGTACGCCATGACACCCCGGGAAATGCAAGAAATGCGCAAATACATAGACAAAAACCTAGCAAGGGGGTTCAGGGAGCCAGCCAAACCACGGGTTGCAGCCCCAGTCCTGTTCAAAAAAAAAAAAGATGGATCTATGAGATTATGCATTGACTTCAGAGGTATAAACTGTGTGTGTGTGTGTACACAACCTATACCCCCTCCCTCTCATTAAGGACATGCTATCTCACCTAGCCAAGGGAAAAGTCTTTACCAAATTAGACCTCAGAGAAGCATGCTACCAAGTCCACATCAGGGAGGGAGATGAATGGAAAACAGCATTCAATTGCTCCTTAGGGAGCTTCCAATTCAAGGTAATGCCATTTGGACTGTGGGGGGCTCCAGTGGTGTTTATGCAGATAATAAACAATGTACTGCACGAGCACCTCTATAAGGGGGTCCTTGTCTACCTGCACAACATCCTCATTTACACCGAGACCACGGAGGACCACATACCCCGGTCCACCAGGTACTGGAAAAGCATCTGGTGGCAAACATGTATGTCAAGCTGTCAAAATGCAAATTTCATAGCGCACGGCTAGACTACCTGGGCCATCAAGTATCACATGAGGGCATTCTTCACGAGAATTGCCAAATTCATGACAGACCTCCTCAAGACAGGAGGCCCAAGGGCAAAGCCCTGCAGTGGGATCTAACCTGTCAAAAGGCATTCGAAACACTAAAAGAACTTTTTGCAAAGGAACCAGCGCTGAAGCATCTGGACCCTGAACAACCTTTCATCATCCAAGCAGATGCCAGCGACAGGGCAGTGGGAGCAGTGCTACTCCAAAGAAATAGCCAAGGAAAATTACAGCCCTGCAGCTACACCTCCCATAAACTCATGGACACAGAGACACGATGGGCTGCATGGGAAAAAAAAGCTTTTGCAGTAAGATGGGCACTACTAACCTGGTGCCACCTACTGGAAGGGAGGGAGAAACAGTTTGAAGTCTGGACTGACCATAAAAATATGGAGGCCCTTAGGACCCTGTGGAAATTATCACCCTAACAAGTCCGCTGGGCCCCATATTTCAATGCATTCAACTTCGTGCTGAAACACATCCCCTGGGGAAGGAATTTCCTGATGCCCTCTCCTGCATGCCCCAGTACAAATGCAAACGGAAGAAGGTAATGGACACCATCATCCCCCCTACCTAAACAGCAGCCCAAGTGACCACCAGATGACAAAGCCACGACCAGCAAGACTGACCCGCAAGAGATCTAACCATGAAACTCAAAACCGAACTGCTAGCAGACCCCTTGTTCTCTAACAGCCAACACATATTGACAAAAATATGGTGTGGAAAGGGACACTACATTCCAGAATCCCTACATACCCTAATCCTCCAACTGTAAGGCATCCAGAAAGTATCCATGATATCAATCACTCCGAGACATTTTCTCTCCAATTGATTTATTTAGAAACAGATCTAGCATGTCAAAGGCAATTTCCCAACGTGAAATTATTTTCGCGCTTTACACAGAATCCACCTTCTCTCCTCCCTTCTCTCCTCCCACTTCTACACTTCATAAATCACGAGAACCAATTCACTGCAACTGGAATTTCTTAATACCACATACAGAATAACCTTGAACTTTTCAACTCCTCCACCCCCCCTTCCATGATGTGTGACAGCTGAATTTTAAAGCTGACAGGCGTCCCCCCTTGAAAACTCCTCCTCCTAAAAGGAAAGGGAAAAAACAGATACAGGGGTTAACACATTGTCCTTAACCCCGCTCCCCCCTCCACAAGGACCCTTCAGCTTGTGGGGAAAATCCTCATGGAATTGGTTAACCAATTGATCAGCATGAACATCCCAGCTCTTTACCCAACTAGCATCTGAGAGAGGGTATCCTTTCCATAAGACCAAATATTGCAATCAGCCACGGTGTAATTTAGAACCGAGAATTTTTTGAATTTCATAATGTGTTTCCCCCTGTACCATTAACGGTTTTGGTGGAGCGATTGGCAGTGGTCTTATCATTGATGTAGTAGCTGGTTTTAGTAAACTACAATGGAACACCAGATGAATTTTCCCCAATAATCAAGGAAGACTTAATTGGACAGTGACCGGATTGATTATCTTTGAAATTGGAAACGGACCCAAGAATTTTGGACCCAGCTTCTTACTGGGCAGTTTCAACCTAAGATACTTGGTCGACAAATATACTTTGTCACCTACTTTAAAAGGTGGTTGAAGGGATCTATGTTTATCTGCCTGTTTTTTATAATTTTTTGCAGCTTCGTTCAAAGCTTTTTTTGTATCTTCCCACCCTTTCTTTAATGAGTTCATCCATTCTGTTAGGGACATGGATGAGGGAGGTTGTCTAGATAACTCTGGCATCAGGACAAAATCCATTCCAGTGTTGATTTGGAATGGAGTCAATCCCATGCTGCTATGTACTGCATTATTGTAAGCAACCTCTGCAAAAGGTTGGTCTGTCAGCCCAATTTTCTTGTTGATAATTTACATAGCATCTAATGTATTGTTCAATCATGGCGTTAGCCCTCTCCGCTGCTCTGTTACAAGCAGGATTGAAAGCTAAAGATAACCCTTAAGAGGAACCAATGGATTTCAGAAATTCCCTTCAAAATTTTGCGGTAAATTGTACCCCTCTGTCTGATATTATTCTACGAGGTACTCCATGTAGTCTATAGATATGTTTCACAAACAGCTTTGCAAGTTTTTTCGCAGATGGAAGTCCTTTGCAGGCTATAAAATGGGCCTGTTTAGAGAATAAGTCAATTACAGTCCAAATGATTGTATTCCCTTCACTCTTAGGTAATTCAACAATAAAGTCCATTGCAATTTCTTCCCAAGGTTGGGTTGGTTCAGCAACTTGTTGCCAGGGGGTTTTCCAGTTCTGTGTTTCATTGTGGCACAAATTGAGCAACTTTTTACATAGTCCTCGACATCAGGTTTCATTTTTGGCCACCAGGAATGTCTTCTCAGTAAATGTAGGTTTTAGGAATCCGAAGTGGCCTCCCAGCTGGGAGTCGCGGCTCCGCTTTAGTACCAGTAGTCTTAGGGTTGTGGGTACATAAAGCTTAGTCCCTTTCCAAGCTAGTCCATCATTCACTGTCAACTCGGTTTGATGGTCCAGGAACCAAGGATCGGTCAATAGGGCTGTTTTCAATTCTGCAGTCAGCTTATCTTCCAGGCGTTTGGGGTTGCGGTTGGCTTGGGCTCGAGTGGTCACTTGGCCTGCCGATTGAGCGTCTGAAATTAAGGCTTGTACTATTTCCTCTCGGTGGCTGTCAAACTGAGGTTTTCTGGACAGAGCATCTGCCAGTACGTTTTTCCCTCCGGGGATATATTTAATGTTGAAATTGAATCGCTTGAAATATTGGGCCCAGCGGACTTGTTTGGGCAATAATCTCCTGGGGTCTTTAGAGCCTCGAGGTTCTTATGATCAGTCCATACCTCAAAGGCCTCTGGCGCCCCTTCTAGAAAATGCCTCCAAGTCAATAAAGCCCATCGTACGGCGAATCCTTCTTTCTCCCAGACCACCCACCTTCGCTCTGTGTCTGTCAGCTTTTTGGACACATAAGCGCACGGCATCTGTCGGTCTTGAGAGTCTTTTTGCAGCAAAACAGCTGCCACCGCTACATCACTTGCATCTGTTTGGACAATAAAAGGCTTGGTCGTGTCTGGGTGCTGGAGGATGGGCTCAGCTGCAAAGAGGCATTTTAAGGTCTTGAAAGCTTTCTGACAGTCCATAGTCCAAGCCAGGGGTTGACTCGGCTTTGGTTTGGTGGGTGACGGGCCCGTTTTTAATAGCTCTGTCAACGGGAGGGCAATTTCAGCAAAGGACAGAATGAATTGTCTATAGAAGTTGTCAAACCCCAAGAAACTTTGAAGTTGTTTTTGGGTTCTGGGGGGTTGCCAGTCCAGCACTGCTTTCACCTTTCCGGGGTCCATTTCAATCCCCAGGTTGGAAATTTGGTAGCCTAAGTAGTCCAGTGACTCCTTGTGGAATACAAATTTTGAGAGCTTCACATATAATTTGGCAGCTAGAAGTTTTTCTAGAACCTGTCGCACCAATTGAACATGTTCTTCCATGGTTTCGCTGAAGATAAGGATGTCACCAGGTACACGAGGACCCCCCGATAAAGGTGCTGGTGTAGAACCTCATTGATGAGCTGCATAAACACTGCAGGAACCCCCTGAAGTCCGAAAGGCATGACTTTGAATTGGAAGCTACCCAGAGGGCAGTTAAAAGCAGTTTTCCACTCATCTCCCTCTTTGATGCGGACCTGGTAGTAACCTTCCCTGAGATCTAGCTTGGTGAATATCTTGCCCTTCGACAGGTGGTTCAATAAGTCCTTAATAAGCAGGAGAGGATACATGTTTTTGACACATACAGCGTTCACGCCTCTTAAAGTCAACACACAATCTCAACCCGCCATCTTCTCCTTGAACACGGGGGCAGCTAGTCTTGATTTGGCAGGCTCAATAAAACCTCGTTCCAAATTGCTGTCGATGTATTTCCTTAATTCAGTCATTTCAGCAGGCGTCATGGAATACATCTTTGGTTTTGGTAATTTCGCCCTGGGCTCTAATTCTATGGCGCAATCAGTGGCTCGATGGGGAGGTAAAACATTACACTCTTCTTCACTGAATGCTTCAGCCAAGTCTTTGTATTGGTCAGGTACCTGGGGGTTATCTGGGAGAAGGTGGGATGCCATGGATGCTGGCTCAGGGTCTGGGTTCAAGCTGACCGGTGGCTTTGTAGTGGGTGGAAGAGGGGGCAATGGGCCCGGTCCAATGAGGATTTTTCTGAATCCATCCTCCCATTTGATTGTCGGGGCCCATTTGTCTAACCAAGCAAGTCCCAGTATGATTGATTCTGACATCTTGGCGGCCACTATGAAGCATATGAGTTCACGATGGGGCCCTAATTCCATCTCGATCAATTCTGTCATTTGAGTGGCTGCCCCCCTCCCCCCAATTAAGGTTCCATCCACTTGCTCAAATCTGATTGGGTGTTTTAGCGGGTTAGTCTTTATGCCCAATTGTTCAACGATGGGGAGTCCCATAAGACATCTAGAACACCCAGTATCAGTGACAGCTTCTAACTCCCCAGCCTCCCCCATGTTTGGTACCACTAACTTGACCTTGACTGTAAAAGGTATGATGGGATCACTCATCATTGGGTCATCTTCGCAGGTCAGGTTCTCGGGGACGTGGTGGCGGTCTGGTGGTCCGTTCTGGCGGTCATCTACGCAGAGGGGGCTTTCCCAGCTGTGTTTGGCGAGCCTGCCCCTGGCCGGAGGTTTCTTGGTTCTTCCAACCTCTAACAGCTGTATTAGGCTTTGACTGCGGAGCTTGTGGTACAGGAGCAGGGGCCAGACAGTCTGCTGCTCTATGGCCGGCTTGGCCACATCGGTAACATTTCAGTACCCTGGTAGGTTGGGTACGAGCAGGTTCGGCTGATCCAGTCGGCGGCCTCCTAGCCACAATTCTCTTAGGCGGGGCTGCCAGAAGGGGTTTCCTGTGTGGGTTGATGCTGCGATCTAAGCTGAGGGATGTGACATACCACGATTGTAAGGTCTCTGGAATTCCCCTAATTTCACAGGCCTTCTTTACTTCTGGATCAATGGCATTTTTAAAATAGTGTAAAGTCATTCTTTCAGGCCAATCCATGAGGTCGCTTGCAACCCTTCTAAAGTCCCAAATGAATTCTGACAAGGGTCGCTTGCCTTGCCTCATTTCCATTAACTTCTCTTCATTCTGTGCTACCCTGTCTGGAGTTTCAAATGAGTCTTAATAATTGAATAAATCCGTTTACATCGCGTAATTCAGGGGCTTGTTCGTTGTGTAGTTGGGCCACCCAGTCTGAAGCATCCCCTTCATTCATCCCATTTGTTATGGCCGTAACCAAATTGCGCTCTGTGGCGTATTGATCTCCAAATTGTTCTATATGGGATCGGATTTGAGTGAGGAAGTAATTGAAATGTTCATGGCAGCCATCGAATACGGCCTTAAAGGGTATTCGGTCCGGCCTGGGTCATGGTTGTGGAGGTGGCACAGGCCAGGCCCCTGCAGGTTGTACTGGAATGAAAGGAACTGGCCTGGTGACGTACATAGGCTGGGTAGGCCCCCTGTATCCTGGCTGGGTGGTGCCTCTCTGGAATAGGGGTCCCTGTGGCCTCGCTGCTGGTTGGGGCTGCATTTGTGGTTGTCAGGAGGAAGATGGGTGTGGCCTGGTTCCCTGGTCGGGTGGAGGGGAAGTGGCTGCTGTCTGTTGTCTGGGCAACCCCCCTTCAGACCAGGGCTGTGTGGGTGCTGGCTGTCATTGGCATTGAATCCATCCCTGGCCTGGATAAAATCCCCACCCTGGAGGGATGCAGGGGGCAAAATTCTTTCTGGAAAATGTGGGGATTGCCTCGGAGGCTGCAACATACCTCTGTCAGTTGATGCATCTTTCTGGCTTCCTCCAACTGGCATCTGTATAGTCTCCTCCCTCCAATCTGAGAGCATAGCCATATGCCTGGGGCTTGAGAAAGATTTCTCTTCAAACAGCTGGGTTACCTCTGGGTTATAACAACTTCTTGAGTTGAAACGCTTCTGTATAGCTCCCAAACCTCTTTCCTCTACTGTCATTCTGAAAGCATCCATCATCTCCTCCAAACAAGGGCTTGCAGATTCAATTAATGTTCCGGAGGGAGGGCCCCCATAATCTCCCCCCGCATATCTCCAACTTCAGCTGATTGTTGATCTTTCTCCATCTCTGGGAAAAGAACTCCGGGGTATCAGCCAAGCCCCTTCAAAAAAAGTAATAATTTGACTTTGGGAAATAAATGTAAGGCATCCAGAAAGTATCCATGATATCAATCACTCCGAGACATTTTCTCTCCAATTGATTTAATTAGAAACAGATGTGGCATGTCAAAGGCAATTTCCCAAAGTGAAATTATTTTCGCGCATTACACAGAATCCACCTTCTCTCCTCCCTTCTCTCCTCCCACTTCTACACTTCATAAATCACGAGAACCAATTCACTGCAACTGGAATTTCTTAATACTACATACAGAATAACCTTGAACTTTTCAACTCCTCCACCCCCCCTTCCATGATGTGTGACAGCTGAATTTTAAAGCTGACATCAACGAAGCCACCATGTCAAATCGGCGGGCCACTTTTGGTTCCTAAAGACTTTACATTTAGCGTGGAGGCAATTCTGATGGCCCAGCATGAAAAGAAACGTGGACAGTTATGTGAAAAGTTGCACCATCTGCGCCACTATGAAAAAATGACCAGGAACCCCCCCCCCCCCCCCCGGACTGCTGCAACTGGTGGCAGAGCCGACAAGGCCATGGGAGGAAATTGCAATGGACTTTATTGTGAAGTTGCCAAAGAGCGGGGGGAATACAGTGATCTGGATGGTGATTGACTTATTCTCCAAGCAGGCACACTTCATACCCTGCAGCGGACTACCCTCAGCCCACCAGTTAGCCAAATTGTTCCTGAAATGTATCTACCACCTGCATGGAGCACCACGAAAAATCATCTCGGACAGAGGGGTCCAGTTCAAGGCTAAGTTCTGGAGGGAATTCCTGTGGTCTATTGGGTCATCCCAGGGCCTTAGCTCAGCTTTTCATCCGGCTACCAATGGGGAGGCAGAACTTTTGAACGCCATGGTAGAACAGTACCTAAGGTGTTACGTGAACTATCAGCAGTCCAATTGGGCGAACCTCTTGCCTTTTGCCAAGGTCGCGTACAATACAGTAGCATGGGGCTAACTCCATTCAAAATAGTGAGCGGCATAGACTTTGTCCCAATGCCAGAATACCCAAGGGATCCCCCCTCCTCAATTAGCTTGACAGTCTGGCTGTCGATGCTGAAAGCAGCATGGGAAAACGTCAAGAAGGCGCTAGCTAAAGTCGCGCAGACCTATGTGGCAAGCTCTTCACTCAGAGCTCAGTACTGTCTGGCCACATGTGCATTCACACTGGCGAACGGCCTTTCCACTGCAGTGTCTGCTTTAAATCTTTCAACAACAGCTTCAACTTCCACAAGCACCAAGGCATTCACAGCCCACCATCTGGGTACAGTGAAGGGAGAGTTGGTGGGAAGGACTGCGATTCTTTGTCTGGAAAGAAACTGGAGCAAGTGAAAGAAGGAAAGGGTGGCAGAAATCTAAGCCCTACCCTTCTGTCAAAGCAAACCAGCTGTCAGCCCATCAAAGAGTTGAGAAGGCAAGAACAAGGCTGATCAAAACCTCCAAGGGAGGCAAAGTTATAACACTAGGCTAAGCCAAGAGGACTACTGCACCAGCAGCCAAAGACAACCAGGTGGTAGCATGGATACATTCAAGAGGATGGGACTGCAACAGGATGACCCCAGTCCTGGTATTAATCTTGCTTTTAGGCAGGGCAGCCAAGATGGTCTTAAGGCAAATGCTCTGAAGCAGGCAACTGATAGCAATGGACATGCTGGGGAACTAGGTGGTAACAACAATTGCTGCTGCAGCCAAGAAGCCCTTCCCAATGGCCACAGCTTCAAACAACTGCCAGAGGCAATCACTGAAAATCCCACAGAAGGCTCAAGGCAGAACAGAGCAGGGGGAAGCCATATTCAGGAAGGACAGAAGCAGCTGGTTGACAGCTGCCCTGGTAAGTTACAGCTAGAGAGTAGCAGCAGCTGGGGGAAAGGCTTCTTGCCAGTCAGGGACAACAGGGGCTCTGCTCACAAGCCAAATCAAGAGAACTCTGAGAGAGGCTGGCTTCTGGTGGCGTCTTCCTCGCTGACGGACCAGAGACTGCGATCGCGTGCGTCTTCGATCCGTGCTCTCCCATCAGAGGGCCCCAATCATCTGCATTTGGGGCCAGAACCACCCTGTAGGGGTGGTGAAGGGGGAGACCACCAGCTGGGTCGAGGGGAGCTGCATCTCCCCTCCCTGGCTAGGCATTTTACTCCCCTCTGAAGACGACTGTAGTGGTAGTCAAATATGGCCACCCTGAAGAGGAAGAGCTGACCGGGACAAAGATTGTGCAGGAGCGGTGAAGAAGAGGACAGCATGAAATCGGGCTAACCAGGAACAACATTTAAACATAAAGGTACCCCGGAATTAAAATTTTAAGAAATTTTTAAGAGAGATTATAAAAGCGGCTACCAGAGAAGGTGAGAAAAAAAACTTTTTTAACAGCTGAAAGTGGTGTTGAATTTTGAAAGGAGGAAGCCAGAAGATACCTGTTTAAATTGGATAAATATATGATTTTGGCACTAAATAGGCATAAAGCTGAACTTGAACTTGTAAAAAAAAAAGTAATTGATATTTGGACTTATTGGATTTTTGAATCTTAATAGCGCTAAATAGAGAAGAAAAAGTGGGGGGGGGGGGGGGGGGCGGAATTTGGATATAACAGAGAGTGCCACCTGGTGGCAAAAGAAAATTTTTGTGACTCTTAAAAAAACATGCCTGGCTCCTTTAAAAGTTGAATTTGATACAAAGTAAGTGAAACTTGGTTACAATAAAATGGAGACCCTGGAAAGTGGAAATACTGAACATTAAAATGAAAGAAGTAGGAAGAAATTACTCTGGGATTGTTTGGTAATCTTGGAATAAACTTAAATTTATGGATTTGGACTATTTGATGAATCTGGGAAAAACCTAAAGAGGAATTAATAAAAGCTGATCGTTGGAAATAAATTCTAAAGACGTTGGTGGAATCAAATTACTGGACAATCATGGACTTTAAAAATGGCAGAACTTTTTTTGGAGTTAAAAATGGAACTAACAAATATGAAAGAAATGTTACATTAAAGAGACAAGTCATTTCGTTCTGCCTTGCAATTCTTAGAAATGGTGATTTTAGAGTATGAAGAACAACAAGGAGTGCAGAAGAGGAGGAGCTGATTAAAGAAGAGGCCATCTTCAACAAACAATTGGAGCAACGAATATTAAAGCAAAGGGGGAAAAGAATGGGAATTAAAACCTGGAAATTCGAGGAGGCATTTAAAAAGGGGAATGTTTTGAAAATCAAACAAACTAAAAGGAAACAGCAGAAAAGGGAATTGTAGAAGGAAGCTTTAAAGAGGGAGGGGGATAAAAACTGGAGTAAGAAAAGGAGGGAAAAAATGAAGGAAAAAAGAAGTAATAAGAAAAAGAACCAGGAAATAAAGAAATATGGAAATTGAACAAAAATGAAAATAAATTGTCTATTTAAAAGACATAGAGATAATGGTTAGATAAGGATTAAGAAAGGGGATTCTGCAAGGTGATATGGTGTAGTATAAATGTATTCGAAGTAATAAATTATTTAGAAAGTAGGAAAATAAGACTCTTAAAATGGAAAGATTGGAACTGATACCTTCTTGTTATTAGAATGCTTGTTTTTTATTAAACTATATATAGAGATAAGTGTGAAAAAGAGAAGCTATGATAAGTCTATTAACTATGTTTAATGAATTTAATATAGTTGAAATGAATGAGGATTGCTGTAATGAGATTAATATCAGTTTTTATGATTCACTGAATAGACTAATTTTCTTTTTGAAATTTTAAATGATTTGATGTAATTGAAGGGGAAAGTGCCATGCAGAATCTGACTTAAAAGATATGTGTTATGTAGTTGTTAGGAGATTGTTATTAATTCTTAAGGTGACAATTCAAAAGTTAAATGATTATTGGGAATTAAAGAGGAACTAACCAAATGATATACAAGGTATAGGGGTGGCACACTCTAATTGGTAATTATGGGGGAAACTTTTTTGAAATGTTTGAATTTTGGTGGAGTTTTTGAAATGATGAAATAAGAATATGCGATGAAATTGCAAACCTGACAGATAAAAGTATAAAGTACAATGAATATGAGGATATGAGAATTATTTAAAGTAAAAAGAAATAGGTTAAGAAATGAATTGAAAATATATAAAATAAGTTTGAGAAAAGTATTTGAGAAAATTAATAGAAAATATGTAAAGTAATGATATGAAACTAAATGTGAAAGATGAATATGTAATCAAGGTCATGTTTGTATGGAAATGTGAAGACCTGGAATCATGCTGTTCACTAAGAAAATATGTTTTTGAAATGTGAACAAAATAAAAACTTTTTTTAAAAAAAAGAGAATTCTGAGAGGGGCTTTGGAGTAAGGAGACCAAATGGCCTCAGAGGGCTCAAGCAGAGCAAAGGGGGAAGTGGAGGTAGAGATGAGGCAGAACAGTAGAGGGGAATGCGATGCGGGGGGACCTGATGAAAGCAAAACTTTAGTGGCCTTAGACAGAGCTGACCCAGGACAGTAGCACCCATGGAGACTTTCAAACATGTGGCCCAGAAAAGTTGAATGGTCTCAAAGTGGAACAGTCTACGTGGCCCAAAGATGGCATAGCCTGGGAAGATCCTGCCTCAGAAATGGATGACTCTGAAGGTTCTTCTCCCAGTCGGAAGGCTACAAGATCACCTTGGCAATTGGAGAATCTTGATCCATGTTCTATATCTTGCAATGCTTATGGGCCTTATGATCCTTTGTTTTCTTTTCCCAGCTCGTGAGCCTTCCAATGGACACACACCGTCTATGCTTGAATCCAAGCCGTTTCTCTGCTTTGCCTGCCCCAAACAGTTCTGTCATGCCACAGACCTGAAAAAGCATCTGCGAGTGCACACTGGTGAAAGGCCCTTTGGCTGCAGCATCTGTGGCAAGCGGTTTACAGAGCTCAGCCTTAACCACTCACCAGAGGCTACACAATAGAGAGAAGCCCTTTGAATGTGTGATCCGTTGCCGCCGTTTCAATAACTCCTCTAACTTTGCCAAGCATCATCGAATACACAGGCGTGGGGCATAGGAATAAAGCAATGGAAAAAGAACACTGGGAGGTAAAACCACATTGATTTTGTTTTTCAGCAGGAATTCCTACATTGAAAGGTAGAATGAAAAACTGACAATGAAATGTGCTATTACAATATGTATGCTGATTTTTAGTCAACAATTTTCCAGACAACTCAGTGCCTCCAGATGTTCGGAAACTTCACCATTCAGCATGTTCATAGTGGGCAATTGTGCCCCAAATCATTGGAAAGCACTAGGTTGTTAGCTGGGACCTGGCATTTCATAGGCAGGTCAGTTGTACCCTGCTTTTCTTGACATACTGCTTGATAACAGCAAACCAGACACTGGAGACTGCAATCAAATTACAATTTATGATTCCAGATTGTGAATAACCATAGAAACATCTTCATCTATGACTTGGACAAGAGGATAGATGGGGAACTCATCAAATTTGCAGACAACACCAAGCTGGCAGGAATAGCCAACACTCCAGAATATAGGCTTACGATACGGAAGGATCTTGACAGACTTGAACATTGGGTGCTATCTAACAAAATGAAATTCAATGGTGAAAAAAGTAAGGTTCTACATTTAGGCAAGAAAAATCAAATGCACAGGTACAGTATATGTGGTACCTTGCCCAATAGTAGTAACTGTGAGAGGGATCTCAGAGTCCTAGTGGACAGCCAGCAGTGTGCAACAGCTGCCAAAAAAGCCAACACAGTCCTAGGCTGCATAAACAGAGGGACAGAATCAAGACCTCGTGAAGTGTTAATACCACTTTATAATGCCTTGGTAAGGCCATACATGGAATACTGCATTCAGTTTTGGTCACCACGATGTAAAAAAGAAGTTGAGACTCTGGAAAGAGTACAGAGAACAGCAACAAAGATGATTAGGGGACTGGAGGCTAAAACATATAAAGAATGGTTGCTGGAATTGGGTATGTCTAGTTTCATGAAAAGAAGGACTAGGGAAGACATTGTTCTGACCCACGTCCTTTTCCAACAAATCAAATACAATCCAAAAGGAACAGAAAACTTGTAATGCTTTTACAAAATAATTAGCTGTGAAAAGCACAAGCTTTGCCAAACTGTGCCAAAGACTTGCCAAAAGATAACAGACCAGAAATAATTTGCAATACAAGAATCTTCAAATACAAACTCAGGATACTGGAATGTCCACGAGGCTGGAGTTTCAAAATGTCTTTGCCTTCTGCAAAGTACATTCCTTTCACAGCTGGCTTTTATCTTCTTGAAGGAGGGGCCATTACCTTGCAGCCTTACTCCCGAGTCGCCCGTGCTGTTGTAGCTTTTTCCTACAAGCAATCCTGCGCGCATGCGCACTTGGCATAGGCTCCTCAGGAACCTTCTCATCAATGGACTTCCGGTTTGAAGGGCTTCGGTGACAAACAGAAATCCGCGATCGTGCGCGGTTTCTGTCTGGGCTCGCCGCTGGAGTGCCCCGAGCCAGCTGGTTTCGGGGCTAAGCCACCCCGTAGAGGTGGTGAAGAGGGGGGAGACCGCCAGCAGGGTCGAGGAGAGCCGCATCTCTCCTCCTCAGCTGGCCATTACTCCCTTTCCCAAAGGCAGTTGCAGCGGTGGTCAGAAATGGCCACCACAAAGGAGAACTCAACCGGAAAAGAATGTGCAGGAGGAAGATAAGAAGTGAAAGTTTTGGCTGACCGGGTTAAATTGTAAAAGCAACAACCAAGGTACCCTGGAATTTAAACTTACAAAAAATAACATCGCTCCCAAAGAAGAGTCGGAAGCAGAGAAGGAAAGTGAAAAGGGAAAGGTTTGCCTTTTTTCTTCTCTCTCCTTCCCTATACTGACAACTAAGAGACTTAAATAAGAAATCGGAAAAATCCGCTGTGACATCAATAGGCAATTAAGCTGAAAATAAAACAAAATGCCAAAGGGATAATAAAGATTTCTGGACATTAAAAAATTTCTTTTTCATAAGCAGGAAGGGAGAGAAAAAGAATAAGGGCAGGATCTGGAAGAGGGAGGAGACTGCCTGGAATTAAAAAGAATCTAAAGTAAAACTTCAACAAGACTTCTAAAAGATACATTTTAACTGAAACTTTGCAACTAAATAGTAACCCCAGGAAGAGAAAGTGAAAAAAAAGAGCAAAAAAAACAGCTTGCGTGTATTTGGATTATTTGGTGATCTTTGGATTTTTGGTTATTATATTTGAATGACTAAAATCAATTGGGTGGTTGTTTAAAAATTTATACAATGGCACCACTTCTGGGTGAATTGAAAATGGAACTTAAAAAGTACAAAGAAGATGCACAAGAAGGGAAGGGTTCTTTTGGCTTCATCTTTCAATTCTTAGAAATGGAGATTTGGAACTATGAGAAACAACAAGAAACGTCTGCAAAACAAGAAGACTGGGACAAAGAAGAAGCCATCTTTAATGAACAAGTAATTCTATGTGGGGAAGAAAAAGGAAAGGGGGGAAAGAGAATGGAGAATTTAAGACTTAAAAAAACAACCAAAGAAAAGAAAAATAATTTGAAAAATAAGTATAATACTGGAAAGCAACAGAAAAGGGGAATACAGAAGAGAGAAATAGAGGTAGAGAGACAAGGGGGTAAAAAAGGGAGAGAGAAGAAGAGAGGGAAGAAGGAAAGGAAAAGAAGTTACAAAGGACCAGAGCAAGATATAGAGAAACAGGACCTATTTAGAGATAATGGGTGAAAATCTAACTGAAAAAGGGATTCTGTAAAGGTACATAAGATTGTATTGTTATATTAGTAATAGAAATAACTTTAGAAAATTGGAAACAACGTATGATTAAAATGAGGGATAAAATAGTTAGTGTAATTTAGTGAAATGTTTGTGAATAAAATAAGTGAAATAAAATAAATGAGAAAATTGAATTAGAAAGGAACGGGAACATTTTAATTAGTTAATGTTTTATAATATATAAGTGAAGGGGGGGAATTAACTATGGAAAGCTTATAATTGTTCCCATAGAAGTATGATATTTAATTGAAAAGTAATGTTAAAGATGTTAAGACTTTAATGAATATTAATATTAATGATAGAATTGAATTGGAATGGAATGTTGTTTTAATTATATACATTTATAATTTTTTTTCTTTTTTTAAGAATACAGTGTGTATTTTAAGAATGTACCAAGCAGAATCCGAATGGAAGCTATGTATTATATTGAGTGTTATAACTTTAGGGGAAAGATATAAAGGCGTCATATTCCAATCAGTAACTACAGGAGAAATTGTTCAATGAGAAAAGATAATAGACAATTGAAACAGGACAGACAAAAAATATAAATACAATGATTTGAATTGAGATGAGATAATTAAAATAAAATTGAGAAAATTAAAAGAGGGGAGAAGCTATGCAGAAAATGTAAAATAGTAATAAGATATGGAATAGAATATAAAAATGAGCATGAACCTGAATTTGTGTCTGTACAAAGAAATGTAACCCGGGATTATGCTGCTTTCAAAAAAGATGTTTTATTTGTATTTTTTTTTCTCTTTGTGAAAACTCAAATAAAATTTACAAAAAAAAAAAAAAAAAGGAACCACTGCTGCCAGCCCCCACAATCTCTGAAGGCAGCAGTCCACTCCCTAATGGTCCTGGCCCCTCATCTGAGTCCTCACTCTCCTCAGCCATCCGCACCTGCTGCCGGCTAACCACAACAGACATGATAGCAGTGTTCCAATATCTCAGGGGCTGCCACAAAGAAGAGGGAGTCAAGCTATTCTCCAAAGCACCTGAGGGCAGGACAAGAAGCAATGGATGGAAACTAATCAAGGAGAGAAGCAACTTAGAACTAAGGAGAAATTTATTTTAAAAATATATGCCGCAAAAGATTTAAGTAAATAAAAATTTCTTACATTATGCCAATGAAGTAAACTCTGTGTTTGTGTGTGTACATGCATGGGGAGTGTCTATTGGAAAATATCCAAAGCCAAAATATTTGTTGACATTCTACTTTGTACTTTTATGAGCCGTGCTGGTGCAGTGGTTAGAGTGTAGTACTGCAGGTTACTTCTGCTGACTGCCGGCTGCCTGTAATTTGGCAGTTCAAATCTCACCAGGCTCAAGGTTGACTCAGCCTTCCATCCTTCTGAGGTTGGTAAAATAAGGACCCAGATTGTTGGGGGCAATATGCTGACACTGTAAACCACTTAGAGAGGGCTATAAAGCACTGTGAAGCGGTATATAAGTCTAAGTGCTATTGCTATTGTAAATCCAAGCATGTGAGAAAAAATAGTTTATTTCAACACAATTGATTTGCATATAAACTTGACTGAAAATTCTAGATAAAAAGAACTGAACAACCTTTTAAAAAATTAAATGGCTGTGTTGCTACCCAACAGATTTCCAACTCAAATCCTCAATTTAGATACCTTTTTGTTAATTGAAGTGAAACAGCTGTTTTCCATTTTTAAAGGAACTTTATAAAGCTTTATAAACTTAAGATAAAATTATTTCTCAATTCTGCATTTTCTCGCTGTTCTTATTTAATATAAACATTTTAAAATGTCCATGGTGGATTCTCAACTATTTTCCACATGAATTTCAAAATGACACTGGACAATGTCAGTACTATTCTACCAGTCTCATGATATAAAATATATCCAGAAATCCCATTTCATTCTGTACTCTCAATTTTTTCTGCAACACTTCATCTCATCTATTAATTTACAAGAATAGATGAGCATGCACAAATGTTTCTAAACACATTCTTTGCAAGAATCTGATTTGTCTAATTTAAGAATAAGGTGATGTAAAAGAAATTTATTCTCTGTAGCGTCTAAAACTCCTCCCACCTGCAGAAGAGGTTTTGAGCAAATAAAAGGATGCTCTGATTTGCTGGAGAAAACAAGCCAAATCTCGAAGAACAATAAAACCCCTTTGTCTCTGCAATAAACAAGAGATATTTGTACCAGGATCACCTTGATCTATCTGGCTGAGTAAATGCAGCTTCCTTTTGTCTTTTACACAGGTTAGCAATGATTCAAAAGCATCTGCTATTGCTTGCTTTACTTTTTTTTGTTTCATTAGTTTGATAATTATAAACCTAGTTATTCTGCGCTAATTCTAACAGTATAGTCACATTGTTTGAATGAATGTCCTCTTACATCAGCTTGTAACACAACCTGGCTTAACACAAACAATATCCAAATTCTTTTTTTAATGTTTGTTGTCTGTACATTGTAAATGAGACACTTTTAAACTGATTGCTTACCTTAAAACACAAAACACACTCCCATTCCCCCACCCCTGACTGAGAAACACATGCTGGGGTACAATGAGGGAAGGAGGGACAGGTTATTTTAGGTCTATCAGCCATATGGACAAGAATGGGGTCCTATACATATTTTAATACACATTATCATAGGGACATAAAACCTTGGCATTAAAAGAACTGCAATTTCTGCACTCTGGCCAATGGGAAAAAGAGGGGAGGTTATTAAAAAGTATTTATACAGAAATGTATGTATTTATATATCTGTATTAACATAAAAAGTCATTAGGTAACATGATTGCAATGGGTTGGGTCCTATCAGTAGCATACTCTTCATTCTGAGTTTGTAATTGTCACTAGTTTGGGGGTGTTCAAGTCCTGTCTTAAAAATATCTATCTCCCTGTATGGGGTGAGAAAGGAGAGTACAGGAGAATAATATCAGTCAGAGAACTATAGAATCCATGTTCCACAAAGAACAGGAGGGTTGAAAAGTTCTGAGAAGATGGCTATGTAATCAGGTGGCATCTCAAAAAGCAAAATCAGGTTTGATGCCAGCAAAAAATGGAATATCTTCCCTGTCCTCTGCTTCATAGTTCCAAACATAAAGCAAACAAAGCCAAGTGGACGGTGGGCATCTGTAGGATATCCAGCATCCTAGTGATGTACATTCAGGAATAACAATCCATCCAAGAACATACACAAGGCAGAAGAGTACAGTGTAAAAGACGGTTGATCATTCTTGATTACATACTCCAAACCAACTGGCTCTTCATAGGAACTCAATTTCCCAACCACAATTAAAAGCCAGACTACTTCATCTCAACAACCCACCATTCCCTTAAAAACTCTTCCCACACAACTCTGTCCATGGAATATTGCCTTCTAGCCTCTTACACTGAACTTGACTAGAGTCCATACCCAAATTGGGTTGCAACCAAAGTTATAGAACGAATTATGGTAGTGACCAGAGGTTCTACTGTACTTGGATGACTGTACAAAACAGGCCACCATTCTGAATTAAGAAGCAAGACCTAGCCAAATATGTTTGCATCAATTGTGACTGAATCAAGCATTCCATAGGGATACACAATCATAACATTTGTGTCCTATATTCTAGGCCTGCAATTTTTAAGAAATTCTTTAGAAATCCTGTGTCCTTGAGAAAAAGGCAAAACTTTAGTGATTTTGGGAACACAGTATGTTCTTTGATCAACTTGTTTCTCCATTTTATATTCCATTGTCCATTTGGGAAGCTATTATGAAGCCAGTGAACAGGAACATCACCTATTGATTAGTCATGGTGAACTCATTTTCCCCCCAAAAATGAAGGAATGGGTGATATTAAGTTAACTAATAACAGCATTTCCTGTAAGAACCAATTCCCAGTTTGGGGAGTTGTGAAGGGGGCTTCTAAATTGTATACAATTTAGAAATACCTAGTCCAGGAAAGCATGGACAGTACATATGAGAACTTATACAGGTAGTCCTTGACTTACAACCGTTCATTTAGTGATTGTTCGAAGTTACAACAGCACTGAAGTGACTTATGATCCTTTTTCACACAACCATTGCAACATCCCCATGGTCACATGATCAAAATTCAGACACTGAGCAACTGACTCATATTTACAGTATCTCACAGGAGTACACCCCCTCACATTTTATAAATATTTAAGTATATCTTTTCATGTGACAACACTGAAGAAATGACACTTGGCTACAATGTAAAGTAGTGAGTATACAGCTTGTATAACAGTGTAAATGTGCTGTCCCCTCAAAATAACGCAACACACAGCCATTAATGTCTAAACCCCTGGCAACAAAAGTAAGTACACCCCTAAATGATAATGTCCAAATGGGGCCCAAGTAGCAGTTTTCCCTCCCTGGTGTCATGTGACTCGTTAATGTTACAAGGTCTCAGGTGTGAAGGGGGAGCAGGTGTGTTAAATTTGGTGTTATCGTTCTCACTCTCTCATACTGGTCTCTGGAAGCTCAACATGGCACCTCATGGCAATGAACTCTGGGGATATGAAAAAATGAACTGTTGCTCTACATAAAGATGGCCTAGGCTATAAGATTGCCAAGACCCTGAAACTGAGCTGCAGCCCGGTGGCCAAGATCATACAGCGGTTTAACAGGACAGGTTCCACTCAGAACAGGCATTGCCATGGTCAACCAAAGAAGTTGAGTGCCCGTGCTCCGCTGCAGGTCCAGCGGTTGGGTTTGGGAAATAGACATATGAGTACTGCCAGCATTGCTGCACAGGTTGAAGGGGGGGGGGGGTGTCAGCCTGTCAGTGCTGAGACCATACGCCGCACGATGCATCAAATTAGTCTGCAGGGCTGTCGTCCCAGAAGGAAGCCTCTTCTAAAGATGATGCACAAGAAAGCCCACAAATGGTTTGCTGCAGACAAGGAGACTAAGGACATGGATTTCTGGAACCATGTCATGTGGTCTGAGACCAAGATAAACTTATTTGGTTCAGATGGTGTCAAGCGTGTGGCAGCAACCAGGTGAAGAATACAAAGACAAATGTGTCTTGCCTACAGTCAAGCATAGTGGTGGGAATGTCATGGTCTGGGGCTGCATGAATGCTGGTGGCACTGGGGAGCTACAGTTCATTGAGGAAACCATGAATGGTGACATGTACTGTGACATACTGAAGCAGAGCATGATCCCCTCCCTTCGGAGACTGGGCCACAGGGCAGTATTCCAACATGATAACGACCCCAAAGACACCTCCAAAATGACCACTGCCTTGCTAAAGAAGCTGAGGGTAAAGGTGGTGGGCTGGCCAAGCATGTTTCCAGACCTAAACCCTATTGAGCATCTGTGGGGCATCCTGAAATGGAAGGTGGAGGTGCGCAAGGTCTGTAACATCCACTAGCTCTGTGATGTTGTCATGGAGGAGTGGAAGAGGACTCCAGTGGCAACCTGTGAAGCTCTTGTGAACTCTATGCCCAAGAGGGTTAAGGCAGTGCTGGAAAATAATGGCAGCCACACAAAATATTGACACTTTGGGCCCAATTTGGACATTATCACTTAGGGGTGTACTCACTTTTGTTGCCATGGGTTTTGACATTAATGGCTGTGTGTTGAGTTATTTTGAGGGGACAGCACATTTACACTGTTATACAAGCTGTACACTCACTACTTTACATTGTAGCCAAGTGTCATTTCTTCAGTGTTGTCACATGAAAAGATATACTTAAATATTTACAAAATGTGAGGGGGTGTGCTCCTGTGAGATACTGTATGACAGTTGCAGTGCCCCAGGATGTGATCACCTTTTGTGACCTCCTGCAAGCAAAGTCAATGGGGAAGCCAGATTCACTTAACAACCATGTTACTAACACCTGCAGTGATTCACTTAACTGTTTCAAGAAAGGTCATAAAATGGGGTAAAATTCACCTACCAAATGTTTCACTTAGCAACAGAAATTTTGGGCTCAATTGTGGTTGTGAGTCAAGGACTACCTGTAATAAACTCATCCTATTTGCAAATTATGAAGGCAGGAAAGAAAAATTCTAAATGAGGAAAACGATTTCTGCAAAAGACAGGCTGAGGTATAGCCACCACAATTCACTGAATTTCAATGAAAAATTCAGACCTTTAACAATTTAGTAAAAAGATAAAACAAGAAAAGAAACATCCAGTTGCAATCACTTCTGGAGATAGAAGAGGAACTGGTATGTTTCAAACAGATGCTAATCTAACTGGGCCAACTCAAAGTGGACAACGATTTCCCCCCCTGTGCCCAGCCATTAAGGAAATTGTCTGGAAGGCTGGAAAACATTTTAGTCTTCTTCCCGTGTCTTTTCCCATCTTTGCACTCTTCATCATACTTCTATATTTGGCCACCAAATTATGTGGCAATTTCTTCAAGAAAGCATTTATAATAGTGCCTTTTACAAATACTGCCACTATCCACCACCTCCCCCTCCCAATGTGCTCACTGAGCATAGAGAGTGGTTAGCTATTGTAGGGCAAGACTTCTGGGGGATTGGGGGAGGCTGCCTTAAGAAATATCTGCACTCAGTAAACTCCAATTCTATTCTGTACTGCTCAAAAAGCCTTTGGCAACTTTTCCCCTTCTAGGCAATGGACAACCAAATTTAAACAGTACATCTTTGGATCCTTATAATCATAGATTGCCACTCGCCAGTCTGGGAACTATGGATGTGCGCAAGTGGGTGGTAGTTCAAAAGCAACACCAAGGAGCTTTGGTGCAACCATCTGGTAGAAGAGATGCTCTCGCTTTGCAAGAGTGGAAATGCTGAAATTACTTTCTATTGTACTGTCAGCTTGGGTTACAAGAGGAGAAGGAAGCGGGAATTACCTGTGTGGTGTCCACTGTACACAAGGGAGCCTGTTTTTAGAACTCTTTGGTTGCATCTAGCAAATTAGTTTCCCCACCAGTCTATTTAAAGGTGTACTCCAATGTCTACAATTTGCTGGAGGAGGATTGAAGAGGAAAAGTTATTGGGGGAAGTCAGAGAGTTTGCAAGGATCCTTTTATTCATGCCTGGTCAGTGTTCTCCACTTCAGGTGCAGTGAGGATCCATTCAGACTGATGTCAAATATGTATAAAAGGGGGCTTTGCATTTCTTCAGATTTGATAAGGTGCTTCGGATTGCTTGGGACAATGAACACAACATCTGTTGGTGACTTTTAGACATCTCCAGCAGTCACACAATCCCTGATGCTGTGTTTGTGCTTTGAAGAACCTTTTTGGAGTCAAACCTGAAGTATTATATGAGTCTAATAACCATGGAGTTACAAGGCCAGGGCAGTTAGCTCAATGTCTCAATGATACACCGTGTCTTACTAGGAAAAGCTTGTGGATCAAACCAGAGAATGCAGGAGAGCGGCTAAAGCATTGTGCAATCCTGGTAGACCCATCAATTAAGTTTATTTTTCTTTTCCTTCTCTTCCTTCTGGTGGGCAGAAGGAAGGCTAACATTAGGGAAGGCTAACAATGTACAGTCACAGCTCTCATTCCAAAGCCACATTCTATTTTATGGCTCAGAGTAAGGTATTATTCACACATGAGTTCATCTATATTAACCCCAATAGATTAGGAAGGATGTTGAGCATAAAGGAAGAAAGCTAACACAAGGGGAAACGAGCCTAGCCTACTTTTGTATTTCCTCTCTACTCCTGATGGGCCAACTTGAACATTTAGAAAAGCACACAATACAATTATCCTGTGATTTTGCTTCTTCAGGGGTGCATAATGGGAACAATAACAATTCCAAATGCTTTTTAACATTCAGTGCTCCCTAAATATGGAAAGTGGCATGCCAGGGAAGCTTGGCTAGAAACCTTCTAGGCTCAACTTTTCTTTTATAGGTAGTTCTTGTGAACCTCCAGTTGCATCATGAACTGGTTCTGTTCTGAAGGCAGGAATGTAACAAATGTTATGGCACAACAGCATTTAGACAACAGGCGCCACACACTACTAGACAATTCAAGCAGACTCCGTTAACTTTGTACTGTCCACAGCCATGTCTCACTACCTCCCAGGTCTTAAAAAATTGAGAACTAGCCTATTTTCTTTATACATATGAAGAAAGGACACTAATTAAAGTCTTTCTCTCAGAATGCAAGCAAGGCTTACCTAATGCAGATTACATAGTTGAGTTTACACAAAAGATTGGTGGACATTCCTCAAGTGCTGTATCATGGTCCTTCCTGTCTCATTCCCAATGAAGTGGGTCTAACATTTCTCTCTCGGTAAAGGGGATTACAGGAAGCACCATCTCTTCTTGTGAACTGGAATGCCATATGGTTTCCATTCCAGAAGCATGGGCTTCAAATGAAAAAAAAATAATGTCATTCCACCATAACCTTATTTGCTCCCATTTGCTCAGAAACAGGAGGAAACTTTCATCCCCCAACACTGTGGCCATGCTTGACAGGCAAAGGTCACTTCTATGATTGCTATCTCCATCTCCCTTTCCCCAGGCAATTAGTTTAAAAATCCAGAGCGGTCAAGATATTCTGCTAGAGAGCAGAAATCTAGCAAGTAACTGGCGGCTACCTCTTCTTAATTACAGTACATACCCTATCTTTACAATTAATTCTTGCCTCTATGTGGCTTGTCCTGCTCGTGACTTTATGATTTGATGACTCTTCCAAATTAGTGCCCAACTGGAGCATCTCACTGCTAACAAGCACATCTTATTTTCTATACATGGAAATGCCTTGCCATCATGGCTCACAGAAACCTGGAACTAGCTTCAAATCCCACCCTACAGTACCAATATATGGACCACCCATTTTTTTTCCTGCTGCTACTATTCCAACATTAGGGCTGTTCCTTATGGACCCCCATGGCAGCAAAGCGCTCCATCTTGTGAATGTGGCGGTGCTTTTTGAGGCCGTAAGTATTGGAGAAGGCTTCTCCGCAGGTGCTGCATTTGAAGGGCCGTCCTCCCTGATGGGCCTGGAGGTGTTTGCTAAAATACTTAGGGTCTTTGAAGAGCCTGAGGCAGGCCCCACATCTTAATTCACGCTTAGCATCATGGGAGCGTTGGTGACGCAGAATGGATGACAGATAGAAGAAGCTCTTGGAGCAGTGGTCACAGCGGTAGACCTTCTCTCCCAGGTGGACCCGCTGGTGTTCCAAAAGGTTGCTACGGTAGCGGAAGTTCTTGCCACAAGTAGGACAACGCTGAGGCCGGGCAACTACATGAAGACGCTGGTGTTCTGCCAGACTGGATGACTGGGCAAAGCGCTTGTTGCAGAGGGCACACTTGTAAGCACGCTCACCTGTGTGAACCACTTTGTGTTGACGCAGGTACCATGAGCGCAGAAAACCACGCCCACAGGCAGTACAGCGGTACGGGCGCTTCTCGGTGTGGCAGCGCTGGTGACGCATGAGAAGGGCAGCTTCCCAGAAGCGCTTGCCACAGACTGGGCAAGAGAAGTGACGCTTTTGCAAGTGTGTGCGACGATGCAACAGCAAGTCATAAGCTCCAGCAAAACTCTGTCCACAGACCAAACAGGCCAACGTGCGACGCACCAGATGCACATACTTGTGAGTCACAAGTCCCAGGAAATGCTTGAAGGTCTGGCCACAGATAGAGCAGGAGAAACGTTCTCCACTCGGCAAAGTCGGATGATCTTCATAAGATGATATGTTCTCACCACTAGCTAGTCCATTCTCTAGTGGGGCGACAGCAGCTGCCGTTTCATCTGGTGGTACAAGTCTCTCAGGAGCAGCTTGGTGGACAAGTTTATGCCACATCAGATTCTCAATGAAACCAAAACATTTGCCACAGACATCACAAGGGTAGGGCTTCTCAGCCACATGGACTTCCTTGTGGCTCATGACATGAAAAAGATCAGGAAAGCGCTCTCCACAGTCAGAACAGCCATAGGTTAGTCCCTCAGGGGGTGGAGGGAGAGAAGGGCCCATGGGGGTCAGGGAGGACCCCATGGTTGGTAAAGAGCAAGGTAGCTGTAATCGGTGAATCTGTTTGTGCCGAGTTAAGCTTTGGGGGTAACCAAACACTTTCCCACATATTTCACATTTGTACGGCCTCTCCCGAGTATGCACTACATGGTGTTTGCTGAGGTGAAAAGATTCACGGAAATGCTTCCCGCACACTGCGCACTGGTGAGGCTTCTCACCTGTGTGGATCCGCTCATGACGCTTTAGTGTCTCCCGTCGCCCAAAGCCACGGCCACAGATTTCACAGCAGAAATTCTTGCCTGCTGCTGTCCCCACCAGCAAGGGGTGGGCACCCAAGAGGCCATAGGATGTTGGCTTGGTGTCTCCCTCAGAGCCTGTACCTTGTGGGTCTTGTGGAAGGAGGTAGGACCCTGGTGGCAGATAAGACAAGGTATTAGTGCCATCCTTGGACAGCTGGGCACCCTCATGTTGGAGCTGCCGATGACGTAGTAGATTCTGGGGAGCCACATAACCCTTGCCGCAAATGTCACATTTGTACTCGGGGCGTGGAGGTAAAGTTCCAGGAGGAGCATGAGTGGCCTGATGCTTGAGGAGGTAGGAGGCATCCCGGAATTCTTTGCCACAAACCCCACACTGCACTCGCAACAGGTCTGAGTGTGTCCGCACGTGTCGTTTTAAGCTCTCACGGCGATTAAAGCTTTTCTGGCAGACAGAGCAGGAGAATGGCTTCTCACCAGTATGAATAATCTGATGCTGGTGAAGGTGACTTGGCTTTTTAAACACTTTCCAGCACAGAGAGCAGGCAAAAGGACCTTCGCCTTGAGCTATGGCAGCACTGAGGGCAGATGTAGCTGTTCCTACAGATGGTGCAGCTACTGACTGGGGGTTGCTGCTTTGGGTAAGAGGCTGGGCTGCTCCCTCAGCACCAGGTGCTATGCTGGCGGTAGCAGCAGCAGCAGCTGCAGCCACATTGGCGGCTGCTACATTGGCAGCCACAGTATTGGCAGCAGCAGTAGCATCCTCAGTGTCTTTGTGACAACGGCGATGCCGGATGAGGCTCGAGATATGGTTATAGGTACGGCCACAGGTGGTGCATTCGTACGGCCGCTCACCTGTGTGCACTAACATGTGTTGCACAAGATGGGATGACTGCTTGAATGACTTCTGGCATATACCGCATGGGAAACGCCGATCAATGAAGTATTTCAGTCGACGAAAATAGTTCTTATCATCTTTGCCTGCCTGACTGTCAGGAGTTACTGTGGCTGCAGTTGATGGGGGAGCCTGCCCACGTTTCAGGCTGTTGAAGAGATGCTGGTGGCCAGAAAGGTCTACTATGCCCCACTGAGGAGTGTTGTAAGCTGCAGCAGCAGCTGCTGCTGCTGCTGTACTGTCAAAGAGAGGCTGACCTGCTGGAGTACTGTATGGCACTTGGTGCTGTTGCTGCTGGGGAGGTGGAGGTTGCACAGGGGCCCCTGGTTCAGCTTTCTTAACTTGAATGGTACTAGATGAGCTGGCTGAGGAAGAAGAGGACGGGCCCTCAGCTTTGGGTTTAGGTGTGCCAATGGTGGCAGGGACGCGGTCAAAGTGAGCAGGCGGAACAGCTGTTGGTGGCTGGGCATATTCATACTGTGGCTGTGGGCAAGGGAGGGCAGCAACGGCTTTGGCATGTTCGTGGTTGTAGGCCTCCATAGGTTCAAAGCGCTGGTGGTTCAGGAACTCCAAGAAGTCAAAAGGGTAACTCTGGAAATGCACACCCTCATCGCTTGCTGCATTGGCTTCCATCTCCACCCAGGAGGGGGCACTGCCTAGAGAAAGGGGAGAAAGACTATAGCAATATGTATCTGGGATACAGGTTATCCATATCAGCAGCTGCACAGTGGCATGGTGTGTTTTCTTGTAATGTCAGGGAGACGGTGAAAATGTATATATGGATATATAGAAACACAAGTATCTTGGGAAACAATTTGGTTTAAATGCTGTCCAGCTATAAATTGGAAGATGTTAAGTTATTTTAAAATGTAATAGCTGGAGCAGTGAAGGGTTGGACAATAAGTAAGAACACACAGTTATAGTTAATTTGTTAAAGAGAGCTGGCTATATGAGAGAATCTGAGCTATACTTGGAGTAATTGGAGTAAAGGGGGAGTTTTCTTGTTTCCCCACCTTTGTTTCGCACGTGTGTGTGCTTTGTGTGCTCTCTGTAATTTACCTCATAATGTTCCTACTGTGTTGATTTACTTGATGTATGCCTATCTTATTTACTGTAAATATATTTATTTATATAAAATGGCAAGTACATGTCAGCGTCTCTGACTCCATCTGGATGCTGGCTGCACAATTCCCTGACATTTTTTTTAAGAAAATTCAGTATCTATTTGTTCCATACAAATAATTTGGAATCCAAAATTATAAACATGTGCATCTATTTAAAAGGTTCATTGTAGTATATTGCTGGTACCCACTTATACAGTGTGGTGATTTTTATCATTTGTTTGTAGTATATTTAGATGTAAGTGTATACTAAAGAAAAATTAAAAAAATATATTAAAATACTAACAGTGGAATACAAAACTTGTTCTGTACAATTGTTTGAGTTAGAAAACATTACCTGAAGAAATGTTACAACAAAAATTCCTGTGGGACCTAAGAATTAAAACAAATACCACCACACAACTTTCATAGATCAAACTTGTGAAGCTAGTTTTACCATATAATGTTTTATATCTCACAAGATACTTCATGAATATCTTCACAATTATATCCATTTATCCTTTTCTCCAAGCCCATGTAAAATATCAGAAAAATGGACTAGAACAGCATGGAAGAATTAGATTTTAATTTAATATTTTGCTGTTTTGAAAGAAAGGTATTAATCCATCTAATTTCAATACAAAACTACATTTTAGATGTGGCATCAGCTTTTTTTCCCCAAAGGTCTTGCTTAGTTACCAAGAATGATGAGAATAGCAGTCCAAAAACATCTGGAACGCTCTTGCTCATTCATGAATCAGAAGTTTAATATAAGTAATGCACTGAACAAATGATTCAAAGGCAGCCATGGAAAACTGGAAAAGACACATTTAGAGATTTCAGAAACCTATGTCTCCAATTTCCCTTAGTTGCTGTCTACAGTATGTTCTGCAAAACAGCATATTTGTATAAGAGTAATAATAGAACCGCAGTCCTACATATAGCGAGCCACAAATGTTGCCCTTCCATTTTAAAAACCTGAGGTATACTGATTTTAATTGTATTTGTTTCAGGACATACTTCAAGTGGCATTCCTGAAAGATCTACCATCCCAGGAGGTTTATTAGCAATGTATTAGCACTGGCTCCCCACAGGGCTGTGTGTTCAGTCCCTACCTGTACTTAATGTACACACGATTGTGTATTGTCTGACCCATCCACTGTGATCATTAAGTTCACAGATGATACTACTGTATTGGGTAGCCAGAAAGGCCCAACAGAGACTCCATTTCCTTAGGGTCTTGCGAAAGAATAAAGTGGAACGACTGATGACCTCCTGTTACCGGTCCACAATAGAAAGCGTCCTCACATATTGCATTACGGTGTGGTATGCTGGCTTGACAGCCACGGATAGAAAGACACTACAGAGGGTGGTGTGCACAGCACAAAACATTGTGTGCTGTTCCCTGATACCACTAGATGACATCGCTAGGGCTTGCTGCCTTAGAAGAGTAAGGAAAATTCTCAAGGACGACTCACACCCTGGTCAGCACTTCTTCACTCTCCTACCATCGGGTAGGAGATATAGAAGCATAGCCAGCCTCACCAACAGGCTGAAGAACAGTTTCTACCCATGGGCTGTCAGACTTCTGAACAGAACATAACTTGATGTCAACATAGTATGACAGACTTGTGGGGCTGGTGCGTTGTGCAACAAGGTCACGTAGGGTAATAAGATTGGGTCTGGGTTAGGGACTTCTGTCCTCACTGTGAGTTGTGGGGGAGGGGGTGCACGAAGGGAAGCTCAGCCAATCTCATTGTACACATGTTGTACTCTGACAATAAAGGTAATAACAATGTATGCTTTTAAACCAAGGCCTCTTTATATCACCTATTAAATGATTTCTATGACAGCTAACAATGATCATAAATGATTACAGTCAATTATACAAAATAGTATATTTGCCTATGGATGGGACAGAAAAACCTTGCCTTTTCAATATTTGTTCCTATTAAAGCAGCTTTGCCAAATATGACATAATCAAATGTGCTAGGTTAGCAAATCAAAATCCAGTCCAATTTAGTGGGCAACAATCCAAGACAAAGGGATTCCATAAACATACTACACACCCTAGGTATGCAGGAAACACAAACTATAGTTTGGTCAAATGGGCTGTACAGTACTTTGCATTTGATTTCAAAATAGTGTTCCACTGTATCTATTTGCAACTAAAACAATCACTTCTTTTTCAGGAATTGCATGATAGCTACAGAGAGCAACTACGCAAGTCAGGAAAGGTGCAGATAGGTTCTATATTCATGCATCTAAGAATTTTCTCCAAATAATTTCCAAAATGTTCCTCAATCTTAAGTGAAGTTTTTCAACTTTTGTATGTGTCCATGAACTGAATGGCATATGATTATTTCTTACATTTCTGAGCTAGTATACATATGATACCCTTGCTTCATGGACGGAATATATTAGTATTAAGTTGGTAAGCCATTACCATCTTCACTCATGTTTGTTAGTCTTAGGATATAAAAAGTCTTTGTATTTGGGAAAAGGTTTAGGAGATGTAAATAAATATGAAACTTAATAAAGTAATTACAAATGCCTCAAGTGTTATTTATATGGAGGAAACACAAAAAAGCCATGGCCTACAGTAGCATCACACATATCTGTGTTCTCCCCGTTTACACATACTGGTATGCTGCATTTCTTCATATATATATATATATAAAACATAACTTTATATGTGGCATGCATGGATGTTGTCACATGCAGTGATTTATGTGTGGCTTTCATGCTTCTTGGATACATGAATAGCTTGATCTGTGAGCTAGATGGAGATATCTGCCAAAAGAAAGAGAGCCAGGCAAAGCAATAGGATAGATTATACAGCCCAATGAAAACTTACAGGTGAAACTTGAAAAATTAGAATGTCGTGCAAAAGTTCATTTATTTCAGTAATGCAACTTAAAAGGTGAAACTAATATGTGAGATAGACTCATTACATGCAAAGCAAGATAGTTCAAGCCGTGATTTGTCATAATTGTGATGATGATGGCTTACAGCTCATGAAAACCCCAAATCCACAATCTCAAAAAATTAGAATACTACATGCAATCAATAAAACAAGGATTGTACATAGAACAATATTGGACCTCTGAAAAGTATAAGCATGCATATGCACTCAGTACTTGGTTTGGGCCCCTTTTGCAGCAATTACTGCCTCAATGCGGCGTGGCATGGAAGCTATCAGCCTGTGGCACTGCTGAGGTGTTATGGAAGACCAGGATGCTTCAATAGTGGCCTTCAGCTCTTCTGCATTGTTCGTTCTCATGTTTCTCATCTTTCTCTTGGCAATGCCCCATAGAGAATCAGTCGAGTTTGCTGACCAATCAAGTACAGTAATTCCACGGTCATTGAACCAGGTTTTGGTGCTTTTGGCAGTGTGGGCAGGTGCCAAGTCCTGCTGGAAAATGAAGTCAGCATCCCCATAAAGCTCATCTGCGGAAGGAAGCATGAAGTGCTCCAAAATCTGCTGGTAGACGGCTGCGTTGACCCTGGACTTAATGAAGCACAGTGGACCAACACCAGCAGATGACATGGCTCCCCAAATCAACACAGACTGTGGAAACTTCACACTGGACTTCAAGCATCTTGCAGTGTGTGCCTCTCCATTCTTCCTCCAGACTCTGGCTCCTTGGTTTCCAAATGAGATGCAAAAGTTGCTCTCATCAGAAGAGGACTTTGGACCACTGAGCAACAGACCAGTTCTGTTTTTCTTTAGCCCAGGTAAGACGCTTCTGACATTATTTGTTAGTCAGGAGCAGCTTGACAAGAGGAATATGACATTTGAAGCCCATGTCCAGGATCCGCCTGTGTGTGGTAGCTCCTGATGCACTGACTCCAGCCTCAGTCCACTGCTTGTGAAAGTCCCCAACACTTTTGAATGGCCTTTTCCTGACAATCCTCTCCAGGCTG